CAGTGAGTCACAATCACAATTTCAATTGGCCACACTCGACCAGTAAGTTAAAGAGAATGGTAGCTTGCACAAGACCAGTAAGTTAAAGCATTCCATCAGTAGACTAAAGCGTATTATATGAACCACGACAATGGTTGTCCTTCCCACGGGGATAAATAATGTGGGATTCCATAAAGGTGCCGCATTTAGCCCATGTTTGGTTTGAATTAAAATTTAATTAAAATCTCAGGTCAAATTTGACATTTAATTTGAATCACATGTTTTATGAGATCTACAACTTTTCAACCACACATTTCATCAATTTTTATCAAAATATACTTAAAAATTTGATTTTAATATCTACCGTACAATGACTTAACATTAAAACACAAGGCATGCATCAAGAGGTCATGCCGGGACATGTATTCTGGGCACGGAAAAGCACTCAGAAAGGCAGACCAAATGATGATTGGCATGCTTGATTAATTTTTGGAGGTTTGACGAGGACTAGAATAAATATTAGGCTGCGACCCAAATATTTTTTGTGGTCCTAGAGACCACATTTTTACGACCTTATTTGTTTTTAAAGCTATGTTTGGCTCATGTTGATAAATTACTTATAAACAATCAAGATACTTTTGATCCATAAATACTATTCAGTTATTTCTATTTTTTTATTATTTAAAACATTTATAAAAACTCTCCAAACATGCTCCTAAACACATAAGTTGCTACAATTGGTTCTCACACCATGATAATCGAATAATAACAAAGTTGAATAAAAACTAGTCTTGTGATATGCAAATTCTAAGAAGTTTCTAGTTGCTCGATTTGAAAAGGTAAATAGGAAATTTAATTAAATTTTATTCACGAAGTTCTTTAACTTTAATGTGTGCTTTCATTTTCTTGTTCAATTCGTAAAAGATCAATCTTTTTTTTATACTCTTTCGTGTTTGTACCGAAATACTATACCAACTCGTGTACACCATACTAGGATTCTTGCAATTCAAGCACGAGGCAATGGATGAAGAAAGCGAAACTTTCTTCTTTCTCTCTCGATTTTTCGACCACCCATGTAAAGATTTTTTGTGGTGGCTCGTGCTCCCAAGTCCCGAGACTTGTCTCTTGTTCTGTTGCTCTCGAATCCTCCAATTACTTAGGTTCTATTTCTAGGTTGTATTCGTACAAATATATTTTTTCTTATTAGGAGCCACAATTTTCAAATAGATTGTTTATTTAAATTCAAGTGATTTGAACGTGAACTCCATCAACCCTTCAATTACCAAATTCAAATCATTTATTTCGAAGTCCCATATTTAATTTGAGGAAAAACGAGTTTTAGAAAATTTCAAATGCTGGTCAAATAGTACAAGGGCATGTCTCATATTTAGCCATGTTGACTTGCAAGATGAATCCTTTAAAGTCAGAATTTTTTTCATAAAAGACATGAATCCTAGTTAATTGCAATAGCAAGAGATTCTCCATTGACCTGCTAAATATGAAGTAGATGAAATATCTAGTCGAAGAAATTGGATGGAATGGATCATCATTTGAGTGGGTCATGATATTATTCTCGTGTCAATTGTCACAGTATGTAGTACTGGGTTTGAGAAAATTCGTTAGAGATGTACAAACAAAAAATCTATATCGACTAAGTGACAATAATTTGATTCAATAGTTGAACTAAATTATCTAGATTGACTACTCATAGTTCAAATGTGAACAAGACAATAGGGGCGAGGAAAAAGAAGGTGATTGTAGTCTAAAGTAGCTAATGGGTGTGTTCGAGCCAACAAAGCAATTTCCAACGGTAAATCAATCTCAACGCGTTTATCTTTTAATCCACCCACCCACTTTCTCACACATTATCAAAGTGAGGTCAAAATAAAAAAATAGCCTAAAAGGACTCTTCGCTCATCTTCTAAGTCATAACTAACTAGAAAAGGCATGAGATTGGCTTTATTTATTTGGACAGCTTTAAAAAATTGTTTCTTATTTATGATTAATTGATTATAGTACCAGCGGTCAACTGACGCCAAATGGCTTCAAAGAAAATGCATTAGACGTCTGAAACTTGAAAAATTACCATTTGATAACTACTTATTTAATTAAGTTTGACGAGTCATTAGTGTTTTTTTTTCTTTTCGATGAAATTTAACTATAGGTACATTTGATAAGTAAATGTGGAAAGGAATTTCAATTCCATATTAGCTGGAAAATAAAAACTCACCAAATTCATAAGAATTCGTTTCCCATAAAAAAAAAGAAAATGCAGTTTAGCGTGGTTGTATTTTGGAATTCGATTTTCATTTTCACGTTGCAATCAAACGCTCAGAGTGGAATTCGTTTTCCTCGAATGTGAAATTTTTCATGGAATTCGTTGCAATCAAATAGGGTCTAAGTCAACTTTACAGATTGAATTCATTTTCAGACTTCACGGGTAGATTTTGATGTTTATAACATGTATATATTAAATTTTGGGTCTAACTCGGGTGCGAAAGAGTATATTTCGATTTATTTGAAATTATATCAAAATTAGAATTTAAAAAAAAAGTTGTTTGATCACCTATGTACCCAATCTTAATTTTAAATATTTGTTAAGATAATTCATTTGTGCATTAATCTTGAAAACACATCAAATTAACGAATTATAACTGAAACTTTAAGGCTCAATTTTATATTTTTGCCATCTATCCTCAAATTTGTGAATTAATCTAACAAATATGAACTTCACTTGTACACTCGAGAAAAGATTAATCCAAGTTAAGCAAGAAGTGTCGTGAAGTAGAAGACAAGGTATGTCATGTTTGGCTAAGCTTAAGAAATTTACGTACAAATATGTTTAAAAATAAAAGCACTTTTAGTTACGTAAACTTTTTAAAACTTGTTGGGAAAGTTAATTTATTATTTGTAAGTAAAATATTTGCTTATTTTTTAAAAGTCAACTTGGAATTATTTTCATAACAAATAATTATTTATTTAAATTTCGTCAAACAAAAAAAAATTATTTATGGAATGTAAATTTCACGTGATAACTACACTTTTATTTTAGGGTCAATCAAGTAGTTGTGCTTCCATTTGTTCAATCGAATAACTTTGCTATTAATTTGATTTCAATTAGGAAAATTCCTTCTAATTTCTTCACTTACATTGACAAAATCGACGACGCGTTAGACAATAACTTAATCTTATTCCACGTCGCCACGTTATTGATTTTTGACGACTTTACATACAGAGTTTTGCTACACAAACATAATGCTTGACATATGGGATGATACAACATATACATGGGAATGTCGGCATTATTTAATTCAGGTTGGGACCCACATGCAATGTGAGTGGCCGGTTAACCCCTATGTCAAACATTATGTTCATTTAGCTTAATTCTTCCATTAAAGTGTAGTTATCTGAATGAAATTGAAATTCAAGTGTAGTTATCTGATTGAAATTAAATTAAAACATAATTATTATATTATATAAAATTAAAGTACAATTTACATGATTTGAGGTAAAAATATGGTTACTGCAAATGAAATTTATCCAAATATTTAAGTTTAGACTAACACGAGGTATTAAAATTTACTCAAAAGTGAAAGTTACTTCTACGCTTAGCCCAGGCCTGTGACATTGGGAAAAATGAAATTTTCACACAAACCAAACAGAGCCTAACTGAAGAGGCCGTCTTCTCCACCCGCACTACATTTTGGACTCGTTGGCCCCCTCTGCTTCCCTATTTAAGACAGAAAATTGACAAATATGAAACCAATCACTTCACAATTACATAACTATTTGTGATAAAACTAGGATTATAATCCCTATCGCTTCCCTCTGCATTCATTTGCAGAAAACATAGAACATAGCTTTCTCTCTTTGTTATGGCCGTCTGAACTCTGTCGGTTTCTCTCTGCTCAAGTGTACATAATACATAAATTGATTTTAATGCATCACTCTTTTTTACCTTGATTAACCTATCGGCAAATTAAAGGTGAGTTTATTTGGATTTTTCTTCCGTTTTTGTCATTTCTAGTTATTTTGTTACATCTGTTCTATTCTCGATGCGTCTCTTCTCACTCTATGATTTTTTTTTTTTTAAATTACAAAAGATTTTGCGCCACTTTTGAGGAGTTAATTTCGATTGCTTGTCTGTAAACTTTTCGGAAATCGGAGGTTTACGCTTAAACGACATAGATTACAGTCCATTAAGGACTGTACAAGTGGAAAAATTCTTATTATATATGCACACACTCGAGGTTAAAAGTTGTGATCTTGTTGTTGAACTAGAAAATTACTTTAAAAAGTCGCGATCTTTTCCAAGTGAAATTGATGGTCTTTTTTTTTTTTTTCATTTCAATCTTTTAGTTTTTGTTTGATACTTATATTCAAGAATTTGTAGCATGACTCGAAGGCTTGTTTTAAACACCTAATAGTCCAGTTCATTTTTCTTTTCCTCCTTTTTTGGGGTTGGGTGGGGAGGGGTGGGTATAACACCAGAAAAATGGGCGAAAACAGAGAGAGAGAGAGAGAGAGATTCTAACATGGAATTGTCCCTGCTAAGTTAATATAGAGTATATTATTCTTGTGGGAGCATTGTGTATGTAACATGTAGGAGAGGATGATAGATAATTAATGAATGGCTTTTTATTGAATATGAAGCATTGATTTATGATAGCTGTCTAATAGACCTGTTTTGAATGGTTTAGTGCCTTGGTTTTTATTTTTCTCCCTCAAATTTTAGATATTTTCTCCCTCAAATATGTGATCATCGATATACTTGAATAATTGACTAGCTTGAAGGGATATGCATGTGCTGTTGTTTCATATTCTAGGGATAGTCACAAAAGTGTTAAGAGTAAAGGATGTTTCTTGTTTATTCGAAGAAGAAAAGAAAAAGACTCGATAAAATTTTCAGTTCTGCTTTTCTCTTCTTTTACGCATCTCATCTGGGCAACAAGAATCTCCTTATTCTGATGTCAGTGAGTTTTCAAAACTATCAGCTTAACACAGGAGAGTGAAGTTTAAAGATGGAGGAAAATGAAGAGTCAGATAGCCCTAGTTGGGGTGCTTCATTCATGCAGACAACTGAGGATGTTGCAAGAGCTGTTGCAGCAGCCGCAGCTGCTGTTCATTCAGCACGACCTTCTGTGGTATATTCCTCAAAAGATGATAGCGATAGCCCACTCCATAAACTTCAAAACCATGTTTCTAGAATACTTAAAGGCCTGTCAAGTCCTCCAGAACTTAAAAGTGGACCTTACAACCCTGAAATACTAACTAGTCAAAAACGTCAGTGGGCTAACTTTCAGTTGCAGTCCCTGGTAGGATTTCTTCTCTCACATGCTTAATTTATTAATCGTGCTTGTTTGCTTTTTCCTGATATGCAGTATGAAAAAAGTTACAAATGAAGATATCTTCCAGAATTTGCTTTTCATATATAGAGCATATCTTTTAGTTTCAATTTCTCAGGCAAAATTACTTTTGGAGGTTCTCAATGACAATGAGATTTCCTTAGATAATATGGTGACTCCTTTAGAGTTTTAGAATGAGGATCTTTAGATCTTTTTCTAGCTGTTTCCGTGATCAAATAAGTATAGGTGTTTGCTCCTTAGGGTTTTGTGCGTATAATCATGTTGCTGAAGTGCACAGGATCACAGAGTTTGGAAAGAGCCATCAAAGCTTTTCGAGAGCATGGTTATTGTAGGACTTCATCCTAATTGTGACATTCCTGCTCTTCAAAATCTTTACTTAGCTAGAGAGTTTGAAGGATCAGGGGGATTTCGAAGTGCCCTTGGTGATCAGCATCAGTCTCGTGTAGAACCTAGCCTTGAGCCTCAGGTGGTGACTTATGTATTCTACTACTAACAAGTTTGTAATGAAATTTTGGAATCTTATAATAATTATAAATATTTCTTACAATTTTATGTTTTGGCTTCAGGTCTTGTTTGTTTACCCCCCAGAAAAGCAGTTGCCACTCAATTACAAGGATCTCCTTTCTTTCTGCTTTCCTGCAGGAGTAGAGGTGGGGGTTAAGCACTGTGTCTTCTTTTGCTTCTCATAATTCATGTTTGTCTCAATACTCTGAAAACCAAGTCTTCTGTTTTTTTTTTGTTTTACCTTCTCCTGGATGGTTATCATGTGGTCTGTTAAGTTGCAATCTTCTCGTAGTTGCTGAATCAGTTCAAAATGGGTTTGAAAGTGTGAAGCATGCTTATGGTGGGAACAAGTCAATCTAATGTTATGAATGATAGCTGTTGGGAAAATGCGAACAAAGTCTCACATCAGCTAGACACGGGGTAGATAATGGGTATACAATGGCTTTGGCTATTACACCCAATAGGTTAACCTTTTGGGATGGAACCTAAGTCCCAACATTACCTAATATTGATGCGTGCTTTATAAAAATTAAAATCCAGCTCTAGTTCTTTTCCTTGACATACATAGTATTTTTATTATTTAATGAGCCAAGCCATTCGTCTTCTTTTGTGATAATTCTGTAGCTTAAAACTTAGGGGGCGTTCTCTTTGTATTTCAGTTTTGTATTTTGAGTTTTGAATTCGTTTTGTGTTTTGTGTTTTGAGTGTCTGTTTTGAAATTTTTGAAAATGCGTTCTTTTTGTCATTCTGAAAAACTGCTTTCGAAAACGTAAAAATGGAAAACGCGTTTACTTTGAAATTTTGAGAATTTTTTCAAATAATATTTTATTTAAAAAATCTGATTATTCAATAAATTTTAATGGTTTAATGTTAATATAGTATTAAATAATATTTATATTTTGAAATTAATTAGCACCAGGTTACAACCAAACCTAATCAAGTTGCAAAAAAAGGAGCATTAATCTCAAGTTGACATGGTAATAAATATTTTGAAATCAATCTTATCGAGGTCAGATATCCATATTGATGACATTTGGTGTCATATTCATTTGGTGTATGTTTGGTACTTAATATTTGAAAAAAAAA